AACTCCCCAAAATAAACCCAAACCTTCCTATTGTGGTATGGAACCTTGTGCTAAAATCTAATAGAGATTCATACACTTATGCTCAAGTTATTGCCTGCAAACCAGAAAAAGTTGTTGTTTGTCCCTTTTCGTCCCCTTATTATCAAACGATAAGGGCCATGACCCTCCATAAATCGTTCAAAACTTTTCTTTTGAAGTATGGACCCTTGTGGTAAAATTTCATAGAAATCTATACTCTTATGCACCAATTATTACCCGGAAACATGAAAAATGCTTGTTTTTAGCCCCTAATTCCTAAACAACTATGACAATAACCCCCAAAATAAATCCCAACCTTCCTATTGTGGTATGGAACCTTGTGCTAAAATTTAATAGAGATCCATACACTCATACTCAAGTTATTGTCTGACAAAAAAATGTTTTTGTTCGACCCTTTTTGGCCCCTAATTCCTTGACAGCTATGACAATAACCCCCAAAATTAATCCCAACCCTTCTATTGTGGAATGGAACCCGCTTATACTAAAATTTGTTACACATCCATACACTTTATACACTAAAGTTATTGTCCCCTAATTACAAAACCGCAAGTACAATAGCCCCCCCCCCCCAAAAAAAAAAACCAATCCCAACCATCCTATAGTGGTATGGAACCTTGTGCTAAAATTTCAAAGAGATCCATGAACTAATACTCAAGTTATTGTCTGTGAACCAATATGTCTTCAGACGCAGACAACATCATAACATAATACTACCGCCTTGCGGTCATATTAAAATGAAGAAGAAAATGTCTAGTAATGGCCAGCACTGAAGAAACTTCAAGTATGAGCAGTTAAATAGGGGTATTACGTCCCCTTGACCATGTTAGACTTCTCATCCTTTACAACTGAGCAGAGTACCTGGAGTGATAGGCTTGACATTTAGTCAGTGACATGTCGGACAGTATCGCTGCAATATAGCCTTTTTGTACTGTGGCGATGTAAAGCAAACACCAATCAAGCAATCTATCTATCTGTGACGGTTGTTAATTGAAGATCACTTCAAGAATGTAATCACATGTAATCTTGTGACTGTATCATCATTTTTCCAATTTTGACCAAAAATATTTTTAATTTTCATATAAAACATTTTTTTTAAAGAATCATAACTTTTCTTTGATTTTTTTTTCACCTCACTGTCTTTTAACACATTTAATAAAAATATCCATTACACAAGAACTTTCTATTCCCCCCTCACCCACACCCCCAAGATGTTCTTCAACTTTGATTCTTGTTTACTGTACTTAAAATATTTACAATATTTATCTTAATTTTAGATTCTTCATTTTTTACCAATGGAAATGTTTACTATAAACATTATATCTGTCAGACAAAAGTTAAGGTCTACAAGTAAAAAGATTTCCATGCCATTTAATGGTAGGGAGAAAACAAAAGTTTATTAATAAATCAAAACAAAAGATAACCTGTAATTAGTCCCTCCACTCTTTTTTTTTTATATCTTTATTCAATTATTCAACATTTATATACAATAGATAAATTACATATTACACAAAAATATCACAAGACAATGTTTTAAAGTATAATGACATATATCATCAACACAATAATCAAAAATTAAATGCTATGACACCTTCAGTCTCTTGCACCAGAATATTGTTCTTTAAAAGGTGTTTCTCAAAAACATTTCTCATAAATCTTACTCCACACAAATATTCATACAGGCAAGTCATATAATGTTTTACAGTGTATTTAAATAGTCTGATAAGATCAACATTACTGTTTAAATTTTTAAGTAAATTCCTTCTTCTGAATATACAATATCTCGCTATAGATAACATGAAATTGACAAAACTTACATTTACGCCTTTTAAAGATCCAATTAAACCAAACATAAATAACTCTTCATACACTACATTATTAATTTTGTCAGAATCAACATTATCAAATAAAACTGACAACTTTTGTTGCAGAAACAGATGAAATTCTAATAGTTCAGAACATAATAAAAATAAATGAGTGATATTTTCTACTTCCTCTTCACATACATCACATACATTGTTATTTATAAGTTTCATAGTCATAAGTTTAGAATTAGTGAAAATACAATAATGTGCTATTTCGAAATCTAGATCCATTAATATAGATGGTTTCCAATAAAAAAGGACATTTTTCCACACTTTACAAAGATCATTCTCTTCAATCTCAAAAACTTCTGTCCACTTTTTATAGCAAATAGGATGCTGACATAGTTTACTAGTAAGTAATAAATAAAATTCTTTTGTCGAACACATAGAAAACTCTGACAATTTGTCTTTGAAAATAACATTAATATTTATAGAGCGAGAAACATTTCTTCTATGAACATTTTTATGAATAATTTCAGTCCATTCTTTAGGCAATATTACTTTTAAAATATTAAATCTTTTTACAATATTGTTAATATCACAATGATTAGTAACATTTTAAATCATCTCAACTATAGCCATTTCTGGTAAAAACTCCTCTATAACTTCATAACATATATCTTTTACCTGAACAATTCCAGCATTTATAAAATCATATAACAGTTTTTCCATCATACAAATGGAGAATCTTTACACTACAAATTTTAAAAAGTCTCAAAAATATTCTCCAGAGAAGCCTGTTCACATCTTGGTAGGCTAAAAGGCTTGATCAACAAAAACCAACATTTCCCATCAAATTCCTATTCAAAGTCTATAAATTTCAAAACAATATAGCGAGAAACATTTCTTCTATGAACATTTTTATGAATAATTTCAGTCCATTCTTTAGGCAATATTACTTTCGTCAATGGTGTATAACTGTGTACATCAGATAAAGTGCATTTGTCAAACGTTCATCTCTAATCGGGTAACGTTCATTCATTGCGGTTTTTATATGATAGTCGGTTATAGAGCTCATCAAAGCTTATATTTTATCTCACGGTTAAAGTGTATATATATGTTCCGACTTTAAATAAAATTTACATTCATACTTACTTTCTTGTGAACACTTAATTAACTTCATCGTACATAACGTTCATACAGATTCATGAATTTTTGTGTAAAATTTATTTATCATCTGTAAACATTTCGTGGTTATTCAGTGAATCTTGGCTGGGACTGACACATTTTAATATAATGATACATGTTCTACGTACAAACAATAACATGATGACATTTCTACGACAGAACAGTTAAAATTGGAATTTCTATTCAACTGAGCGAAATGGGCTTAAAAATATACTGTTGGCCAACTGTTATTTGTTAAAAAATATTCCGCCAATAAAAAAAAACAGTGCTTTTGCAAAATTTAGATGTGGGGTAGCTCCACTAAAAATAGAAACTGGAAAGTATGAAAGAAAAGAAGTCCACGAGATGACATGTGTTGTAGCTCTACTATTGAAGATGAACTTCATGTCATTTTAAAATGCCTATTATATGTAGATTTAAGACAAATTATGATACATTAAGCTAAACATTTTAATAAACATGATAGCGAAAAAATTATATTTTTATTTAATAACGGCAATGTTGCTGCTATAGTTGCCAAAAACATCAACAATATTTCATTGAAAAGAAACGGCATTTTATTTCCTAGTTCTCAAAGAAAAAATGTTTTATTTTCATATAGTACAGGTGGACACTGTAAATTTTAAATGTTAATGAGTAAATATATTGTGTCTTAAAAGTCTCTCATTATTCTTTTTAAGATTGATACATACAATGCAAATGTTTTAATGTTTTATGTTTATTTCTGTGATTCTCATTTTATGTTTGTATGTGGTGAGACTATAATAAAATATTGAATCAGTATTAACATGATTAATGTTCAACTTGAGTCATTTCTCCAATGTTGAACAATGCAAGATTATAATTCTTCGCTTATTTGGCAAATTCATATTCTACTAAATATTCAAACATTTAAGTTTTGATAAATACCATTACAAATATAATTTTTGTCTTCGTTTCTGATGGTCACGTGCACGTAAGGTTATTCCATTGAGAAAATACAATATACAAGATTGTCGGGTAAATGTGGATTGCGGATTAAGATTTTAGATGTCAAACTTGAATGAACAAATTAAACTGAGGCGAATTTAACACGAATATGTATGTTCTCTTCAACAGTGTTTTTATTCTCTGTTCTTTATTTTCATTTTAAATTTGCTAAATATGTTTTGTGGAAAATTGAATACAAATAAACATATGTATTTGAAGGCATTTTTTTAATTAAACAAGTATAAGATCACGCAAATATATCCCGTATTCCTTAAGAAGGATTTTAAATTGAGGAACTTTTTAAACTTGAAATTGTGTTTACGAGTTTAAGATATTCTTTTTTATTTAAAGTTTTTGATGACCAAAACTTAAGTGAAAATTATTCAATTTTTACAATTCGAGTTAAAGTATTTTGAAGTTTAAATTTTTATTTTATTTCTAAAATTTCTCCTTATGTAAGTTACATTATTTTTGGAATGTTAATTTTTGATAAAGAAGAATGACATACAACTTGAATATTTAGATTACGTAATTAAGACGGATAACAAAGAGACATGTAAGCGATAAATTATTTACTTTGGATTATGTACCTTACATGTAAATTAAGGCTTTTGTTAAACAACCTTTTCCTATTACTCATGTGTGAAATTGTTAATAACACCTGTCACCCATGACTTGATTATTGGCCAACCAGTGAAAATAGGTTGTGGTCAAGGGAGCGATACAAGGTACTTTTTGATTGGTGAAAACAGGAGAAAGTTAAGAAATCAGTGATCATGTGACCACGCCCGCATGGAAAGAATTTAGGTTTTCAACGGTCACTTTGATTACTGATTTTCAATAATAAACATCTATATTTACTAGAACTTTCTCTTGTTTTACACCAGGCGCTAAAAGTCATCAGACGCAGCACAGAAAAGTCAGTACGACATTTGGTGGAGTGACCGAAAGATCCAAAGCTAGTCCCAAAACAAGAAAGAAGATAAAATCAGCAACGTACAAATGCCAGCACCACTGAATAGCTATCTTCTTCGCAGTCAAGATACAATAAGACCAGAAGCAAGAGTGCATCAACAAGCAACAGAGACAACAGCTTCAGCGTCAACAGCTTCAACTTCAACAGCCACTACAACATCAACAGTACCTGTCCTATCAACAGATACCATATCAACCTTGACAACAACATCAACAGTATCAACTGCATCAACAACATCAGCAGCATCAGCAGCATCAACAGATTCAACTGCATCAACATCATCAACACCTGCAGTAGTTCAAGTAATAAGGGAAGTAAGCGTTAACATGCCATCAGGAATCAACCTAAATAATTATGATGGAAAATCATCCGCAGCACAATGGTGGGGATATTTTATCCGTTGGACACTCATTCAAAAAATGTGCGAACAACAACAATGCAATTCCTTTCCATTCTTTATGGCAGATGGTATACCTAAGCAATGGTTTGCTACACTTTCAGAAACTGTTCAAAATTCATTACAACTATTAAAGGATGAATTTTTTAAACGTTTTGAAAAATCCCAAGGACTTTTTGATGTAAATATACTTCAGTTAAAACAAGGTGTAAACGAACGAGTTGATGAGTTTATGGCAAGGTTACAGGAAAAAACAATAGGACAGGACATTCCTGACGACATAAAGATAGGTATTGCCATACAAGGTTTCAGAGGGGAGATAGGGAAAACAGTGCATAACACTTTCCCAAAGCCAGCTACTTTGGAACAGTTAAGGGCAATCGCAGAAAATGCAGAAAAATCCGAACAACTTGCACCAGCATCGTCCATTACTGCTGATACAATTGCAGCAATACTGGAAGCCAAGATGCAAGAACCATTGGAAGAGATCAGAAGACTACATACATCTATTAACATGGCAAGACCAAACCAGCCTCAACAGAACAAAAACAGGTACAACAAACCAAGACAGAACTACCGACAAGGAACTGGTAACCAACAACAACATGCTTTTGTACCCCAACAACAATACATTCCACAACAGCCAGTGTATAATGGACAACAGTACAGCCAACCAATGCCAGCAGCAGTACAAAATCCGTATCACCAGCAACAACAACAACAACAAGAAGATGGATCATGTCAAAATTGTGGTATGTTTAGTGGTTCTAATTGCCCAGCAAGAAATAAAGAATGTTATAATTGTCATAAGATAGGGCATTATGGTCGTAAATGCAGAGGTTCTCAAAAATATGGTCAAAACCCCCCATTTAATCGCTAGGGATTCGCGCCTGTCCCTAGGCATTTGTCAAAGGATAGGCACAGAGATAGAAATTCTTTTGCAGAGGTAAATTTGGTATTGCCTATGCAGAAAAATACTTCAATTATTGATATCAATGGCAGAAAAACACATGCATTGATTGATACTGGTGCAGAAATTACTTGCTGTAGCTTTGATTTTTATAGCAAGTTGGCCCTTTCTGATAAACTTTCGCAATCAGATATTCCATCAATTAAAGGTGTAAGTGGACATAGGTTACAAGTGCTAGGAAAAGTTAATCTACCAATTTCATTTAAAGGTGCTGTTTTTAATTATCATGTTTATGTTATAGATGGGCTACATCATTCTTTTATAATTGGTTGGGATTTTTTACATGCAAACAAGATTAATATTGATTTTTCTAAAAGTGTTTTACAGGTACCAGATAAAGAAAATGCAGATATTCCTAAAGTATGTATGATACAGACTACTAGTACTGGCCTTGCTAGAACGTATTACCCTGTCACTATTTCTCCATTTTGTGAAATGAATGTTGGCGTCAAAATTTCTAAAAGAAATTCAGGAGAAATAGTTCTTTTGGAACCAGTAAGTAATTTAGTGGATTCCAATCTTACGAGTGCTAAATGTTTGGTCAAATTATTAAGAAAAGAGCAGTCATAAGATTGATGAATCCTACAAATCAGGAAATACACATTCCCGCAACAAAAGTGCTAGCTTCTGTATCAGACATTGATTCAAATTTTATTCATGATTTAGATAATAACATGCCATCTGTTGCTAGTTTACAGCAAACTAAGGAAGTCAAGGAGCCTATAAATTTTGATTTCAGCACTTCTGATTTAAGTTCTGAACAGAGACAGAAAATGCAGACATTTCTTGCTTCCTATAGAGATATTTTTGCAACTAATTTATCAGAATTAGGTTTTACTAATAGGTACAAGCACAGAATTGAAACTTTTAGGGATGCCAGACCAGTCAAAATGGGATTCTATAATCAGTCTCCTCATATGCATAAAGAAACTGAAAGACATTTGGTAGAAATGAAGAAAAACAACATCATCAAAGAATCAACCAGTGAGTATCATTCACCTGTTATATTAGTGAAAAAGAAAACTACACCAGGTCAGCCTCAGCAGTACAGATTTTGTGTGGACTTTAGAAAATTGAATCTTCAGACAAAAAAATCGTCATTTCCAATTCCCCGTCTCGAAAACGTATTTGACACGATTGGTGAAGTGCAGCCTCAAATTCTGAGTTGTCTCGACCTTCACAGTGGATTTTGGCAAGTCGAGATGGACGAGGAAACCAGACATAAATCAGCTTTTATTACTCGCAATGGTGTCTATGAATTTCTCAGAATGCCTTTTGGTCTTAAAAATGCTCCTATTAGTTTTCAACAGCTCATGTCAAATGTTTTACGTGGTCTTAATTGGCAATTTGTTTTAGTTTATGTGGATGATATTTTGGTATTTAGTAGGAGTTTTGAAGAGCATCTTTCGCATCTAGAACAAGTTTTCACTCGTCTTCGGGATGCAAATCTCACATTGAAACCAAGCAAATGTGTGTTTGCAGCAAAAGAGGTGAAATACTTAGGTCACATCATTTCAAAAGAAGAATCTCAAAATATAAAGTCTGGGAAACGGGTAACGTTTGATTGGTCATGCAATATAGGAGAACCTGCGTTAGATATAGCTGTGATAAGTTATCCTAATGTTCCACCATCTTTATTGATACTGGGTGAAAGAAACATATTTTGTGTAGCAGAGAATGGAAAATTAAGATATATGAAAAAGTTTGATTATGATCCAAGTTGTTTCATTCCACATGGTTCAATGCAAGAAGGGACTATAAGTTACCTAGTGGGCACACATACCAAGTCTTTAATGGTGTTCCAAGATGTTATGTTGAAGTGGTCAGCCAAGCTAGATCATGTGCCTGTACAGATATGTTTAGGATCTTTTTCTGGTCTGAAGGGTGTAATAGTAACTTTAAGTGATAAGGGTCAGTTAGATTGTTCCTACCTGGGAACAGATCCTGCTTTGTTTATTCCACCAACGACAGAAGCCAGAGAATTGAATTACGATGAATTAGACAGAGAAATGGCTTCACTTCAACAGAGAATTAAAAAATCTGCTCACAAATCAGTGATTACACCTAATTTGAAACAAGAAGATGATTTGACGATATTTGTATCCCCTAACCCAGGCTTTGATGAAGTTTCTACTGCCAGTGGAGTAGAATTCCAGGACTCAGATCCTATTCCGTCCATATCTGTCAGGGTTCAACTGAAATCCAGGATGACATTAGAAAATGTCAAATTGTTAATACATGCCAGCTGGCCATTGGCTTCAAATCAAACCTCAATAGAAATCCCTAGTGTTGATCCAAGTAAACCATCAGAAAGCTTTGTTTCCTTCTTTATTAAAGGAAAAGCATTACATCCAGATTTAGTAGCTTCTGTCACAGCTAACTATACTAGTGCTTCAGGAGCACCACGTGTAGCTACAGCCACAGTCAAGTTACCACTGAAGTTGGTAGTCAAACCAGTATTACCAGTAAAAACAGCTGAGTATAAGATCACATTGGATACAAATAAACCCCCAACAAACCTAAATGATATATTTCCAGAGCTACTTGGTGAAAATGTTTCAGGCCCAGGAGCTGCGTTAGGATTCCAGTATTATGGAGGACCAATTGTCACAGTCCTTGCCTCAAAAACTTCTCAACGGTACAGATTACAGTGTGACAGGTTTGAAGGCATGTGGCTGATAGTCAAGGAACTCTCTAGTCGTTTAAATAATTATTTTAACAAGGGAAAGACGGGAAGTTTTGCTATATATTATTCCGGCCAGGTGCCGTTACAGGAATACTTTGATTTAATAGACATTCATTTTGAGTTCCGATTAAATGCAGATAGATGTAAAGAATTGCTCTCCCAACGATCAGCACAGTTTAGATCAATACAAAGACGACTTTTAACACGATTTAAGGACAAGACACCAGCTCCACTACAAAATTTAGATACATTATTAGAAGTGAATACTAGAACAGAAGCTAGTGGCAATGATAAGACTTCTGAGAGTATCCAAGTGGAATTCTTTTATGATGATTACACTATGGTTGCTCCATTAGATCCCGTTATTGCCAGACCAGAATTGTCAAACCTTCCTGCTATTGCAAAGTTGCAACAAAATTGTCATGATTTTGGAAATATGTACAGATTTCTTAATCAGGGTATTCTTCCTGCAGACAATGATCAGAGTTCAAAAGTTCAAAAATCTGCTCAAGATTACTCCATCTGTAATAATGTTCTGTATAAGTGGTTTCAGAAGAGAGTCAGAGTTGACAATGGTGAAAAGTGGATCAAACAATTATGTCTCCCTCAAGCTCTAAGAGAGGATGCTCTTTTAAGTTACCATGACAGTTTTGTAGGTGGTGCACATCTTGGGATTGAACGTGTTTATCATGCTTTGAGTCTTAAGTACTTTTGGCCTAAAATGCACCAAAGTATTGAAAACTACATTCGATCATGTGATCGCTGTCAGAGAATTAAAAGAGATACAAAGGGTAAGAAACCACCTCTTAATCCTCTGCCAGTTGACACAACCTTTGAAAGATGGCATATGGATTTTCTGAAACTTAGTAAAACTAATGAAGGTTATTCTTATGTGTTGTTACTAGTAGATTCTTTTTCAAAATGGAGTGAGGCCTTTCCTATGAAAACTCAAGAAGCTTCTGAGGTTGCAAAGGTTTTATTTCGTGAGATTATTAGTCGTTACGGTGCAATGAAGTGTCTAGTCACAGATCTTGGTCGAAATTTTGTATCTAATCTGGTGAATGCTTTGTGTGAAATGTTGAATATTACAAGGCATCATACAAGTTCATACCATCCTCAAACAAACGGATTAGTGGAAAGGACCAATAGCACATTGATACAGGCAGTCAGAGCATATAGCGATAAGGATCAGAACAATTGGCCAAATAAACTCCCTGGTATTTTAATGGCTTTTAGAAATTCTCCATCAACTCAATCAACAGAGTATTCTCCCTTCTCAATGGTGTTCGGCAAGGAGATGAACTTACCTTTTGACGCATCTGTTTTGCCAAAAGACAATATGTCAAAAGATGCAAAACACCATTTAGAAGAAATAATTTCAAACCTCAAAATTACCCAAGATTTGGCTGCTGAAAATATTAAGCTTAAACAAGCAAAAATGAAAGAACGATACGACAAAAATACCAAAATTCCAGAATTTAGGCTTAGAGATAAAGTTTTACTTAAAGAACATGTAGTCCCTGTCGGTCGTTCACCAAAATTAGTTGATAAATATAATGGTCCTTATTACATAACTGACTGTGGGCCGAATTTTACATATAAATTAAGACGCTGCAGTGACCAAAAGGAACTTAAAGCTATGGTCAATGCGAGCAATCTTAGGCAATATGTAGATCCCACTGACTTCCGTGATCCGCCACAAGCTCCAGAACGCCCAGTTCCAGATAATGCACCCGATGAGCAAAATAATCCACCTGCAGATAATGATCAAGATGATCAAATTGCAGAAAATGAGAGTTCAGATTCAGAAACTAACAGTGATAATGGAGATGAACCGAACAATGTTATTGATGATACGTTTCATGAGGTTGAGAAACTACTAAATAACAGGAATACAAGAGGTATACAATATTTTCTTGTAAAATGGAAAGATGGTTCCAAACCGACATGGGAACCAAAACAGAATATAGAAGAGGGCTTGATACAAGAATATTTTACAAGGAAAACTAGGAAAGGAAGGGGGAGAAAACGGAGGAAATATTTTACGAGGCCATAGGTGAAAACAAATTACTGTATAAATTTCACTGGAATAACACAGATAAAGCTTTAATGGCGAATAACTCACTTACATTCAAATAATCTGGATTGTACTCCAGTTTCGAATCTGCGCAGTGGACCATTCTTTAATTATTTGACCCTTTGATTAACTTTTTTTCTAATTTCAGAAATTTGATAGGCAAATTATGATGTGAAGTCAAACCTAACAGAATGCATCAGTGTTTTGTTGTCAGTAGTGCTAGAGTACGGCCGTGCTCATTCGACTAATCATCACTTTTTTTTTTATTTTAGCAACTGAGTGTCCTAAGAAACTAGAATCCATTCCAATATTATAGTTATGTATGATGAAGTTAAGTGTTCAGTGAAATGTTACCGAGAGCCAAAGTGGAGGAGTTTAAAGCGTATTAATGTTTAGTTTATTTCTTTTTGTAGGATTTTGAACACAGATATATTTAACATGTTAAACATATTTCTAGATTACATTATACCATAGAGATTGCACATCATGAGATTGCAGATCATGCGCTTGCAAGAATTGAGCATGCAATGAAATGAAAAGTTCATTTTCATGTTCTATATTTGAATTTTATATTGTTATATTGTCTTATTAATATGAAAATGTATTGGTATTTTGACTTTTCTGTTGCACTAGCACCTGGTTTACTTGATTTTTCATTATTGGAAAACTGCATCAGTACTATTTAAAAAACACACATATTTTAGTGTGAAGTGTTAATATCCCTCCTCATATTGCAAAAATGACAATACTAATTGAATGCATATTTGCAAACATGCAATACCTCAGTGCCTCCCCGTTACAAATATATTAACATACACCCTTTGAAATTTTGGAAGTGTCTTATTGAATATCTGCAATTATGACCATATACATTTTGTTTTTGATTCTTAATTTAATTTAAGTATTTTATGGGCATTAGATCACAAAACTACATTCACATAAATGTGATATATAAACATTGACTCTATATGAAAATTTACATTATGTTTATCATACTTTAATTCTTTGTACATTTATATATATATAATCATTATTCTTATTTTATCAGTTCAGATGATGTTTCAAATTCAAGCTTTGGGACAAAGCTTAGTGAGGTTGAGGAAGAGTTGTTTTAGTAAAATTATGAATTGCCAAAGACAAAATTTTAATATAACAGACCAAAACTTAAGTGAAAATTATTCAATTTTTACAATTCGAGTTAAAGTATTTTGAAGTTTAAATTTTTATTTTATTTCTAAAATTTCTCCTTATGTAAGTTACATTATTTTTGGAATGTTAATTTTTGATAAAGAAGAATGACATACAACTTGAATATTTAGATTACGTAATTAAGACGGATAACAAAGAGACATGTAAGCGCTAAATTATTTACTTTGGATTATGTACCTTACATGTAAATTAAGGCTTTTGTTAAACAACCTTTTCCTATTACTCATGTGTGAAATTGTTAATAACACCTGTCACCCATGACTTGATTATTGGCCAACCAGTGAAAATAGGTTGTGGTCAAGGGAGCGATACAAGGTACTTTTTGATTGGTGAAAACAGGAGAAAGTTAAGAAATCAGTGATCATGTGACCACGCCCGCATGGAAAGAATTTAGGTTTTCAACGGTCACTTTGATTACTGATTTTCAATAATAAACATCTATATTTACTAGAACTTTCTCTTGTTTTACACCAGGTGCTAAAAGTCATCAGACGCAGCACAGAAAAGTCAGTACGACAAATATATTGTATTATCATAACAAGTCTTTATTTAAATGGAATAAACATGGAACACTTTCACAGATTCACTTTTCATTGTGTTCATGGTTGCATATCAAGGACACAGTTTTTAATGTATGTCTAAAAGATTAATATCCGAAAAAATAATTCACAATAGTACTTTGTATTAAAGAATGACGGATTATTTTACCATGGGGGTATTTTTTGTTCCGTTACTGAGGACATTTTTTTGTCCTTTATGAATCCATATGACAAATTTGACTCCAATAAGGATAAATTTTATCTTATAGAAAAATCGGTAGTTTTTATCCGATAGATTTTGTGTTCATCTTTATCGGATATAAAAGATTGAAAAATACAAACAATTAATTGAAGTTTCGTATGCATCTATCACGATCCAGCAACTTTTGACTAGTATAAAGGGTTACCTTGGTTTTATAGCTCAAAACGGTATTATTTGTTTTGCTTTACATTGGGTTAAATAATGAAATGTATGTTTCAGAAATTTACACAAGTTTGATTTCGGCTTTGACTCCCGGGGGCACTGTCGTTTACAGTAAAAGACGAAAATCTACACATGTACGTTTTTATAAAAAAGAAGTTGTGGTATGATTGCCAATGTTCATCATTATATCATAATTATTGTACTCCCCCTAATAATGAATCTATAATATATGCCACTGGACGTTAAACGATCAACTATTAATTCATCCATCTTATCCTTTTAGTTTTGTGATAATTTGCATATCAAATACATGAAACAACAGGGGCGGATCCAGCCATTTTAAAAAGGGGGGTTCCCAACCCCGGACAAAAGGGGGGGGGTCCAATTATATGTCCCCATTCAAATGCATTGATCGTCCAAAAAAATGGGGGTTCCAACCCCCTGAACCCTCCTCCTAGATCTTTCACTGAACAACTGCAGAGTTTCACTAAAGTTAGAAGGCCGATATTATTGCACATATAAAACAGACATTAACATCGATCCCTACGTTTTGATCCCCTCACAAAACAACACTTTATAAATTTCATGCATCTATAACGCTTTTCTGGATTTACTTTCACTAGGAACGCTCAATGCTAAATATTTGAAAGCCAAAGAATGTATAAAATAGATAGGAGTGTAGAGCTATATGACCAATAAAGGGCCTATACACATTCACAACATTCTGTGTATTTATGTGTCTGTCCAAAGTCAAAAGCACGTAGTTCAGTGGTTTTCGTAACATCAATTCTGTTATATACATGTACATGTATTTGGGCTTTTTTTTGTGGCAAGATACATGTAGCTTTGAAATAAAGAAGGCCGTTTGTTTGCTCAATTGAAATGTTTCATATTTTTTTCATTTCGGGGCGGGGCCTTTAATAACCGACTTTACAGTTCCCGTATTTTTTCATTATTGAAGGTCGTATAGATATAACTTTCTTGAATAGTTGACTCACTAGCAATTATACCACATTTTCTTATTTTTACATAAGCCTTCAATCCATCAAAAGCCAATTTAGTCTGCTGTAGCTGAAACCTACGTTTCTTAAAAAAAAATCTAAATTTATATAACGACAATTTAAGAAATGTTTGTCATAGATATCTGTTCGTGATATAAGTATCAAAATATTTTTGCTATGAAGATGTGTAAACCCTTAACTAAACCCTATTTCTTTGGGCAATACCTACGGGAATTAAAATAATAAAAACCATTATTAGAAAATCGGAATATATATGTGTGTATGACTCGGAGGTGCAATGGAGATTATAAAGTTTGACGGCCACGCGTGAAGTACGCTGGTCTGCACCGAAGTGCGATGAGCTGTTCGATGGTTTGCGATGGTTTATATAACGCGGGATACCTAGATTAAAGTCTACAGATGTGCAATTATTATGAGCAGTATATTTGTTTCAATGTCAGTATATAAAGCATTCACTAGTGTTATTGTCTATGAATGTAATAGTTAAAGTTGCCGCGTACTAATTTAGAGATCGTCCTATTTGATGATTTGCATGTGGAAATTATTCTTGCTTCAACATGTATCTTTACTTAATTTGTTCCTCTAATGAGATCATCATTTACCGTTATATAATCATAAGAATAGTTTCACGGTGGACCCGTATGTATTGAGGGAATGACACTTCATCGTACGTAAAAACAAATCTTTCGTATATTTCCCGTTTCAAAGTCCTACATGTATATTGAATTTTACCCACAACTCAGAAAGTTGACCAGCGCTGGGTATGCTTAAATCTCTTATTCTAGATGTCAGGTAACTTACTCGTGTTTATGTTGGATTGCTGTCTGATTGACGAATATCCGTCATTTTATATATATATATATAAAACAAACAAATTTAAATTATATATATATATTTAAATTTGTTTTTTAGGGATGCATCCAGTTGCACCTTTTCATTTAAAATATATTTCCGTGAAGTAATCTCAAAAGATTACTCACTTCAATAAAAAATAAATAAGGGAAATGAAACCTCTTCTCGCATGTTGCACTTTGTGTAATTGTTCTCTTCGACAAAATACTGCCTTGAACTCAATTTTGGTATAAATATAAAGAAGCCACATTTGGTTCTTAAATGGATATTTTTTAAACACCTAAAGCTAGGTAAGGCCTATCTCTTGATATAGGCTCTTAAATTCGGCAACCTTTAGAGACCGACCGTGCTTGGGCTTTATAGCCAGTCAAGGTCGCTAAACTCTCATTATCCGTTTAGAGATTTTCTGAAAATACGATGGTTACTGTCTCATTAAAAACTAAAACCTTATCAAATATGGTGGCCTTCGGCTGTCATCTGCTCTTTTCGGGTTGTTGTCTCTTTGACATATTCATCATTTCCATTCTCAATTTTAAAATAACTAAAAATATGATAAACAGTTGTCAGATCAATATTCATTTAACAAGCCAGTGCGTTGATACAGGTTATATTCTACTGAATTTACTATATCCGTTATTATTACGTAATTATATAAGTCCCGTGTCCAGGTAAAAATAACAATTTGTGGTTTGTATGTCAGGTGAAAGTGACAACGGGTGGTATGTATACTAAAATGTTTATCGTCTTCCATTATACATGAGGGTGTGGATGGGGGTTTATAGAATAGAAAATTATTGACCAAAAAATAAAGAATACAAAAAATAACCAGACAAATATATAGAAAAGAAAATGATGAGGTACTAGAATATATGGAATAAAGAATGATCGACAAAAGGTATAACGATTAGAAAAAAATGCCTAAAATGATAGAATACAGAAATAATGAATCCCTATTCAGACCCTCATAATTTGACGATGACATTTAGCTTTAGGACAATTATGGGCATGTGATACAGTTTTAGACCCACAGTGATTTTTTAAAAAAGTTCACATATATACAAGCTAATTTTTACAAAATCAATTTGTATATGTAATAAAAATTGTATCTTCATGTGCTAAATTTAAAAGACAAATGGGTTTGAATTATTCGACATTTACTTATAACATTTCGGTTTCTTGGACATTTTTATCCTTTGAACAGACATCCTTAACTTTTTTGTTTCAAAAGATAAAGATATGCGGATTTCGGTAAAGAGATTAGGAATATCTTCGTTACAAAATTGGGCTCTACATTTGTGTAACAATTCTTTGTTAATATTTAATTTTTGTGAAAAGAAATCGATACAAGAAGAAAAAACGGTATTTTTGTTGTATA